TAAAAAGATTAAAAAATCACGTATGCATAGAAAAAACCTATGTACATACAATGATTTATGGTAGGTGATTTCAAACAATGTGACCACATAACCATTACTACAAAGATGTATAGTAATTAGTATGCGTTAATGTTAATTTTAACATCGATCTTTCCATTTTAATCTCTTGTGGGTATCGTCAGCGATCTACAATCTGATTTTAAAACGTGTGTGAATATATAATATAAATGAATAAATGATTTAGCGTAATAGAGAAAGAGTCATCCATCGGTCACGAAGCCGAATGCGCGCCTATTATAACAGTAACGACGAACGACCGACAGGGGTGAACAACTGGTTGCAGGCGAACCGACGATGAGGGCAATTATCATAATTACTTCTTGCCTGCAAAGACAAATAGTGTATGCTGTTTATAAGGAATATTTGCGGATATTAAGTGGTTGTGATTAATGGTAGTAGTAATGTGTTTTTAGATTTTAAAGAATTCTCATTTGAAGAATTAACTTTAGTATTGGATAAGCATATTCTCATATTAACCTGCTTAATGGTATATTGGTTTTCGTCAAAAAATCTGTTTTGCTAATTTTGTCTTCTCGACATTTCAAGTCATTCTGAATCGAATGAGATCAAATTTGAAAAAAGTATGCATGCGTGTGTGTATGTAAGCCCATATTTGACCTTTCGTCGATGTTTTCTCAAAAACGGCTGGGTCTATTTCAAAAATTTAAGTCACCCGATGTAATGCGATAAGAACTAGCGTTGGTCCGTTTAACGCGCGATTATCGATCAAGCCGTTTCTTTATAATGAACAAAACAGTGTGAAAATTTTGGTCCTACAATCTTGAATCAATTTTAGAAATTCAAAAACTGTTCCAAAGATATTGGTTGAGAGATTAATCGTGCTGATTAGTTTTTTTGCTAAATATCAGCCGTGTAGTTTCTTCGTAGTTCATTTTCTTTAACGATTTTCAAGAAACGATAGATTTTCTACTCTAAAATAGCATACTAAAATATTGTAGCTCTACGATAAGCGGTTGAATTATAAAAATTCATCAAACACGAAATATTGCAGCGCGCTAAACGATTCTAATCGGAATCTACGCCGAGCATACGTACTGTGTTAGCTACTGATTACAGTTGACGCCTCCTCTTAAATTTAATAATATGACTTTCACTCACTACTAGTTTACTGAATATGTTTATTATTTTGTTTTCAATATATGCAGTTATATATTAATAATAACACAAAATATTCTTCTATAATCTGTTACTGCTTGTACGAAATAATCTGCTTCAATTTCACTATCTGTCAAATATAAAAGTAAACATATTAGGAATATTGATAGTTTTTAAAACGAGAATTTTTAAATCATTATAATTTTTCTTATAAGTATATGTGATATTCATTTTAAAGCTTTTGTATTTTTGTATGTGGTTTAGAAATATTTATTTCTATAAAAAATATACAATCAATTTTTATTTTAATTTTGTCATTATATTATACATAAAATATTCTGCGGATTCGTTCTTCATTATTTTGCTAAGTACGAGAGTCATTTCATTAAATAACGTATAAGCAATTTAAAAAAATCTCAGACAATTTAAAACTATGCTTACAGAACACATCAACACTTTAAAACACAAACACTTTTTTGACTATACTACATTTTGAAGAAAATTTTTAACAAAAGACGCATTTGTGAATGATCTAAACAAAAGCCAGCAAAAGAATTTTTTTACTGCAAAATGTCCAACAAGCCTGAATCAGTTCATATACCGAAAAAATAATGTATTTCTTTTTCCCCAACTTTATACGAATATACATAAATTTTTTTACACGAATACTATAGATGCCTTATAAAAAGTTTACAGTAAGGAATTTCCTGAACACAAGTTATAGTTCTCTCTATTTGTTTTTATCATTTTTTCCATTTCGATATTTCAATTACCCGAAGGTTTTCAATACCTCCGCGTGTGCTTTACTCTATTCGGCACACTCCGGTGTTATTATTCTCTCGTAGTAAAGTTGAGTGCATATAATATATTTTTGCGGAACACGTTGTTGTGTAACGGTTGTTGTCACACAGCACAGAAGCAATAATAGACAAAGACCAACCAGGAACCGGCCAACCATCTAGCCAACCAGCCAACTAGCCAAGTCAACCAGTCAGTCGTATTATAGATAGATGTAACCGAATAGAATGGATTAGAATAGAATAGAAAAGAAAATATATGCTAAAAAGATATTGTTCCATTATGTTATTACTTTAGTTACGTGAGTGTTCATACGACGACGTCTTGCTCAAGAACTCAATTGGCAACTCATTGTTGTTACGAGAGCGCTCAAAGGGGACACGCCGTTGTTCGATTGATGAAATCTCAATTAATAAAATCATTAGTATTATTATTGACTGTACACTAGTCTTCTCACGTAATTCAACGTAGTCGTAAACTTTTTTTTTGTGGAATATAGGTTCAAGTTATATGCACCTTTATGTCTGCAACGTTGCACAACGAACATGATGATAATGAGTTTTATATCTGTTTTTTTATTTATCACATGCACTTATTCCATGTGGAATATTAGCAAATTTTTTTTGTAGTACCTAAAAATATGTAAATCGAATCGCAATCTAATGATTGGTCGGGGTACAAGTTTTATATCTATTAATATGTATTTTTTTTTAAATCTTATTAGTTTTTATTTCTGATACTTTTCATACTTTCGATCAAATTGGCTGAATTTTTATTGCCTTGGCGACTTAAGAATTTTATCTATTCTAAACCACTAATCCACAGCTTTCTCCGTGGATTAGTGGTTTGAGCTATACGACTTAAACCAGAGTTCCCAGGTTTGATATCCATTTGGGCAGCCTGATGTCAAGTAGTAGTGGCATCGGTTTTCACTTGGAAAAACAATTAGCAATGTTTCCAAGTGAAAATTCAAAACTGTGAATAAAATAAAATAATAAACTAGAAGTTAATAAATTAAATTATGTAGTTAGTCACATAATTACCAATTTGTTAATGGAAAACAAAAGTTATGTTTTATAGAAACAAAGGGGGTTCACATATGTTGATCCAGGGGCAATTACAGAATTCTAATAAAAACTTATAAACTTGTAAAATACTTCTCAAAATTTATTACAGTGCTAAATGATGACACACATGGTAAAAAAATATGAAATGAATTTCTTTAAAATTTTATTATAAAATCCATACACTTCGGCTATTGTCTCGTGGAAACTAAAAATAAAATTTTAAAATAAAATTGTATACCAATTACAAAAAGTAAAGAGTACTTACAATTTGCTTGTCCTACTGTTAAAAACAGTAAACACACTAATCCATTATCTGAGTTTATGGTAATGCACTAAACTTGTTGTATTTGTTACAATGTTTCACAACTTTACTAACATGACAATATTCCCAAAGGAGGAGTAACCGTGTAATATATGTGTTATCTGTGAACTATCTGGATAAGTAATAGAGAGAAGATCTTAAAAAAAACATTTTTACGAAGATTTTAACATGTGTGACTAATAGTGAATTATTTGCACATTATTATTGCTTTCTAAGAAATTTGGAAATACTATTTACATGAACCATGTTTGGATCGCACAGCAAACTGAGAATCATCGTGTTTGTTTATTATTCTATTGCTATAAATGGTCATAAAAGATTCTTCAACACGTCTTTTGTGTAATTTTTTTCAAAATGTAGTATGGTTGGGGTAAAAAAATAATCTGTTACATTAATGTGTTCTGATAGCATAGTTTTAAATTTTTGGGGATTTCTAAATTTTAGCTAGTTTTCCCAACGTAAATTGATTTGCAATCTTAACAATTAATTTGATAGACCAGGTTTGCCACTAATTTAAATCATTTATTATTACATTTTACAACACATAAATTAATTGTGTTCTGTTAGCATAATTTAATTACGCTTAATACGTTAATGTGTTCTGTTAGCATAGTTTTAAATTTTTTGGGGATTTTTAAATTTTAGCTAGTTTTCCCAACGTAAATTGATTTGCAATCTTAACAATTAATTTGATAGACCACGTTTGCCACTAATTTAAATTTATTATTACATTTTACAATACATATATTAATTGTGTTCTGTTAGCATAGTTTAATTACGTTTAATACGTTGATGTGTTCTGTTAGCATAGTTTTAAATTTGTTTGTATTTTTAAATTTTAGCTAGCTTCCCCAACGTAAATTGATTTGAAACCTTAACAATCAATTTGATAGTCAAAGTTTGCCACTAATTAAATCATTTATTATTACATTTTACAACACATATATTAATTGTGTTCTGTTAGCATAATTTAATTACGTTCAATACGTTATTTATTTTATTTATTTTTTTATTTTTATTTATTCATAAGCAAGCCGTAATCAATAATAATAGATATTATTTCAGGCTCTTGTCAAGCTTATTCATAGTTAATATTGAAAGGATAGTAATTTTATAATAATCATAGTAGCTGCACGAATTTGGCTTCTGAAAAAAAGAGCTGAAAAAAAGCATTCGAACATTAAATACAATGTTCATCATCAACTTCATCATATTAAAGTCTATTTGACCATCAGTCAAGCTCAAAATTCTTGCACAAGGTTGCAGGTTATACTCATTTAAAACCTTAAAAATTTAAATTAATAAAATAGCAATAAAAAAAACATGGTTGTACAGGCGATCAAATAAATAGTCAAACTACATAGATAAAGGATAAGGATTATGCAAGAAAATAGTTATTGAAATCAAATTGAGAAAATTCAGTAATGTCATAAAAAGCTAATTCTTTGAAAAGTTTTACTAGTTAATGTGTTCTGTTAGCATAGTTTTAAATTTTTTGGGATTTTTTGAATTTTAGTTAGTTTCTCCAATGTAAATTAATTTGCAATCCTAACAATTAATTTGATAGACCAGATTAGCCACTAATCTAAATAATTTATTATTACATAAATTAATTTCTAAATCTATCCTTTACCCAGATGAGGAGCCCTACCGCGCCAGCAACGGTCACCATCAGCAGCAGCAGCAGCAGGCGTCTGCAGCGAGTGGCGGCGGAACCTCCTTAGCCTACTCGTCTGGTGTTCCCGTCGAACGCGAACGCCACACCTCCGTCGGCTCTGACAGGTCGCACAGGTCGAGCACCTCGATCGCCACGAACCATTCGACCATCCTGGACGATGGTGTCAACAGGACAATCGCCCATAACCAGACCGACGGCGAGAACGGCGGAGTGTCGTCCGACCATGGGAGCAGGCGGAGGACAAACAGCAGCAGTATGGGGTAAGGAAAAATAAAAATATTAGGTTTTCTTCTAAAATTTGTCGAACGCATTTTTAATTGCAATTTATAAGTTGTCTAGAATTTTTTTGTATCAATTTATCCAAAATGTACATTTTAATTAATCATTTCTATGGAAATTATGCATAGTATGCATAATATGCATAGAAGTCATGTGCTCAGGATTAAATTTTATTATAGAGTTGCCTTAGGTTCATTTATCTTAAAACTTTAAAAAAGTTTGTGTTATACATCATTTATATTAATCAAATTATTCAAGATCTCCGAACGATAAAAAGATAACTGCACATTGAGCTCAGAATTATATTACATTTTCAACTGCATTGTAGTGTGATTTATGATAAAAGTATTTTTATTATCTATTTTTTTATATTATTATATCCTTATCCTATATTTTTTAATACTGTATTTATATATGTTAGTTAGTGCTTAATAGTCATAGTAGAAATACTACAATTTGAAAAAAAAGGAAATTAGTTATTAACTTTCCGTATGGTAGTTATAGTAATAGGCCGAGAATTGAAAATGAAATTTTTTGCATATCTTCACGTTTTGAAGGTTTCTGAACATTTTGGCATACTTCAGAAAAATATGGATATGTATGTGTGTGTATGTATGTATGGATACAATATTTGTCCACGTTTTTGGGCGCACCAAAGATTCCTATTGATAGGGAGATGTGCTGATTAGTTTTTGGCAAAGGCTGGTCCAGCCATTTCGGAGATACTGTTCAAAGAGTGCAGAATATAGAAATCGAGTTTTCGAGAGAACGGCTCTTCCGATTTGATCCAAAATGATCAAATGATGAAAATGATCCAAAAAACATTCAATTCGCAATGACGGGGAGAAGTAGTGATTAGTTTTTAACAAAGGCAGGTTCAGCCATTTCGGAGATACCGAGCTAAACGTGCGATTGCTTTTGGATTTTTTTTTTAATTTCAAAAAAACATTTTTTTCAATTTCAAAAAAACATTTTTTTCAATTTTAAAAAAACATTTTTTTTAATATCGAAAATAAATCAAATTTTAATTGTTTTAAGCTCACTAATATACTCAACAATCTATGATACTCAAAATAATTAATTTTAACTTTGCAATTCAGTTTATATAATTCTTATAAATATTAGACAATATCTTTCATTTTAAATTGGTTTGATTAAGTTTTGTTTATTTAATTTTCTGTAAACATATATAAGTTACAGTATTTGAAAAAATAATCTATTTGAAAACGTTTAATTTCCTTCGAATATATAATTGCGGTACGGGAAGTTCCAGCAATTTGTCTTAAGGCATGATGCCATTCACAACTAGTTGCAAATATTTTATTGAAACTACAAAAATATACAATCTATCACTAAAGTTGTTATTGGAAGAGTGCCAGTGTTTGTAATTTTGAAAATAATTCCGTACTTAATTTTATTTTAATGTCTAAAAATTAGAATACAATATGAGAAGATATAAGTTAATGACATGTCAGCAATATTAACTACGTAGTTCATTTAAAACTACTTAATAATATAATTTTTTTGTCATTTATTTCAGGCCCCTGTCGATGAGGTCGAGTAAAGTCCCCGGTACTCGAGAAGTCCACAACAAATTGGAGAAGAATCGAAGGGCTCACCTGAAAGAATGTTTCGAATTACTCAAAGACCAACTACCTCCGAGCCCCGACGAGAAGAAAGCATCTAACTTAAGTATTCTTGGATCTGCAATCCGCTACATCCAACTCCTAAGACGTAAAGAACGAGATTATGAGAATGAAATGGAGAGATTGGCCCGAGAGAAGATCGCCTCCCAGCAAAGGATCACAACACTGAAGAGGGAGCTGTCTTCGACATGGGAGCACATAGACTTTAGCAAGCTGCTGCCGGACGAAGTTGCTGCCAAGACACCGGACAGGGAGCACAACCAGAGCAGCACACCAGCGCCGCAGAGCCTGGGGCTGAGGGCGGAGCATAGATACAGTTCGAGCAGCTCCCTGTCGAGCGCTGCGACTGCTCCGAGCCCCAGTGCGGTCACAACAAATAATGTAAGTGGAATAGTAGACACAAATAACAACTGCAACTTCGGATATCCAATTCAGAAATGCTACAATGTCATACATATAATTCTTAATCTGATGTTATGTATCCTTTTCCAGCAGATGGCAATAACCCGCGCCTCTCCAATAACTCAACTGATCTCGCCGACGGCGGCGACGATTCAAAAATCCAACGGGCAACAGGTGATCCAAATAAACCAAACAAATCAACATATCACGACAAACGGAACATCAAACGGTCCCACCATCGTCAAGACGACAAACAACCAACTTGGAGCCAAGAGGGAGCTGAACATGTACACCAAACAAGTGCCAGTGAATAGTAAAATAAATAACACGTACGCCTCTGGACATCTGATAAGCCAGAACGCTCTGATTTCGAATGGAAAAATTGCGAGATTGGAGGGCCAGCCCCAGGTCAAACTGGTGAATGGGACTCCGTCTCTGGCTCTGGTCACACAAACAGACAATCATGATAAGGATGTTAAGGTTCAGCCGACACAAATCACGCTGTCGCAGGTAAGAAAGGTATTTTAAAAATCTGGATGTAACTGACCAATTTTAAACTATTGGTAAAGTTACAAACTCTTTGTTTATCATATAGTTTGCAAATGATGGATGCATTCTTTTATTTCATTAGGTAATTTTAACCCTTTTCATTCAGATGCCGCCGGCGGCAAAATTCATATAAATCTCGGAATTAGCGAGTGGAAAGGGTTAATAAAACATTGTCATTGTTTATAAATATTATGAAATTACAGGTCATCCCAGGAGGTAGCTTAGTGGTCAGTCCAATTCAATTGTCTCTTGCACCACAAAACATTAGAGTTTTGGGCAGTGCAGCCACGATTGAACTTGCAACAAGCTGTAAGTAAATTGATATATAATTATAATTAACTAAGTGTAAGTGGCATTTTCCCTCGGAGAAGTTTCTTGAATTTTTCTATGTATATAATGATTGACTTGATCAATTCGAAAGTGAGATTTAGCTAATTTTTAAATCTTTATTTCGAAAATGAAGTTTTTGTTTTCAATTGAATCTAAATTATATTTAATTAATCTTTAGATTAATGACATTTTTTATACAACTAGAGAAGTACTGTTGGCAGATATGACGAATCCATTTAGATAATTTTTATTTTCTGTAAACAATGATTTTTGTTACGAGAAAAACACTTTTGTAAAATTGGAAAATATTAAAATATATTGTGTAAATCATACTTAGGCGTCTTGCTGGCTTATACAGCAGTATCACCCCTGCAAAAAACACCGCCGTAGCGAAAGAGTTAAGGCCGAAGTCGTGTTAAAAAGTTCAAAATTATTTTTATTACTATTATAAAATTATTCATTTTTTCAAGGCAAAATTAATAATAGTTTTTAATGTCATTTTCCCCCAGCTTCTTCCCAACGTCTAAGAGATACATCGGTAACATCAACAACTCACGTGAGAAAAATTCTTGTGCCTCAATCTTCCGCCGGAAGTCCAGTGGTGGCGGTTCCTCAAGAGAATGGCGCCAATGGTCCGTTGGGCGGTCGATTACCAGGCGGTGCAGAACTTAATCTGCTGCCCACTAACGGAGGGCCGCAGGTGGTGAAGAACAATTCGAACCATCAGCCCAACATTCTTTATCGGACAAACAAGACGGGCGGAGCCTTGATTGTCAACAATGGGATTGCTTTGAAATCAGGTAATGGTAATAGAAATAAAGAACTAGTTGTAAGTAGTATTTTATCTTAAGGCAAGTTGCATGAACTTTCTGATATGTCTGGATAATCAACTTAATCAATAAGAAGAGAGATTCAACTATGTAGGTAAAATTAGTCAACTGTTTATTTCGCAAATAAAATGTATGATTTCACTAAAAATTAATCAATGCGATTTCTAATTGATGTCTTTTAAACATATTTTATGATATCTGTAATTGCATGAATTAAATTATCTTGTTCAACATATTTAATTTCATCAATTTTGGGTTCTAAAAATGTATGTTATTTAAGTGTGGACGTCCAACGGTAATCAGTAGCTACCTACCAACGAAACACGGAGAATCGTCTAAGCGCACGGCTAAATTTTAAACTATGATGAATTATTATAATTCAACCGCTTATCGTAGGCCTATAATATTTTAGTGTGTTATTTATGACTTGGACAGCTATTGTTATACTAAGTTTTATTGGAATTGTTTTAAACAATTTTTCCAACATTTAATTACGAAGAAACGGACTGGCCGATTTTCGTCAAGAACTAACTAGTACGATTTCTAAATGATTTTAAAATCGATTCAAATTCGGACGAAAAAATTTACACTTCTCTGCTAATTGCAAAGAAGCAGCTTGGCCGATCGTTGCACAAAACTCATAAGTTCTTATCGCGTTACATCGAATGGCGATTTAAATCCTCATTTAATTTAATGACTTGAAACGTAAAGAAAACATAAAATTTGCAAATTGCACTTTTTCGCGATAAGATTTCTCCTTCGGGAAGTTAAAAATCATTGCATTTTACCTAACTTCGTTTCCTTATGTGTCCTTAGGTGAAAATGCGAGTTCTCGGCCTGTCCACGTGATGACTCCAATAGGAAGTTGCGCGACATCTCTTTCGGGGCTGACGCCCCTTGTCGTGTCCCAGAGTCAAGGGGGACAAGTGACACATATCGTTGCTTCGCCCTCGCAGTTGGGAGGAAAGGTACGTTGTGAATATACAAATTTAAAAAAATGGAAAAAAGCTATTGTACCCGTGCCTTGTCTTGCGTCGTATCATTTTGCGTTTTTTTCGAAATTGCGTTGTTGCTTATTTGGTAGTAGTTTTTACGGTACGTCGTTCGATTTTTTAAAATGGTGGGTGGGCTTGAGGTAAAGGAATTTCTATGCACTGAGAGGCGGTAGCAATCTCAAATCCATATAGATTCCACATGGGTGTCACAGAGCTGAAGGCACGCTTGTGGATTTCAGATTGCTACCGCCGCTCAAATCACTTGGAATTCTGTAATGTTTAAATTTGCTTCTGTTTATATTTTTAGCAAAAAAAAACCTTATAAGAATCTTACATATGTCCTTATTCCACCTTCCTGCTAGCCCCTTTCATTTACTATTCACTGCAGCTATTATATTTGTGACCAAGTTTTTTTATTCGCGAATGCAATAAGTGCGCCCACATAAATAAAAGTAGTCCAAGCAGTTATCAGTTTAAGTGGTATTTAGTCCAAAATTCCTTGTTGATTGATTTTTTGCAAAGGCAGGTCTAGCCATTTTGGAGATACGGAGCAAAAAGTGCAGAAAATGGGAATTCAGTTTTTGAGAGAACAGAACATCCGATTTGAATGATTAAAAAGATATTTGATTTGTGTTGACGGCGAGACGTGCTGATTAGTTTTTGGTGAAGGCAGGCTCAGTTTCAATTATAAAAATGTATTAAAACCTGGATTATTTGGTCGCGATATTAGACACGTGTTCGATTTTCAATAATGTATAATAAATCAACTCATCAATGAATACTTATAAATCTCTCATAAATTAATATGTTAATTTATTATTGACTAAGTCAATTATTTACTACATGTCGGGAAGTTCATGAAACTTTGCCTTAAGGCAAAATTCCACTTACGACTAGTTTGTATGCATAAGAGAGTTTTTGCAAAATTTTGTGTATTGATGAATATACTTGTCATATACATCAATCTTTAAATATCATAAATTGCACTTTTTTGAAAAGAAAAAAGCAAAAATTGGGGCTGCTATGTCATTACAAAATAAGTAGTTGTAAGTGGCATTTTATTTTAAAACAACAATAAGAGCGCCACAGTTAACTGGTTAAAAAGTAGTATTGTCTAAACCGCGGAAACCGTTTATGATCTTCATTTGCATAAGAATGTAATTTTATTCCTCTTGTTATATTTTAAATGAGATTTTAGTATCCTATTATACGAAATTTAAATAATTTTTTTTTCACAGTATCTCAGTGCCGCTCTGGTTAAACCAATGGTCGTCGTCAGTACAAGCGGAAATGTCCAGTCAACTTCAACATCATCAAATTAATTCAGGAACAGGACTGATTATTGATTCACGAGGACAAACTTCTGCCGCCCCCATATGCAGATCACAATAACAAAAGCCTGCAAATATGGAGAGGGATGGCACGAAAGTGAGATTTTAGCATTTTAAAATATATATACCTGGGCATCACAAGCTTTATATCTGCCATATTGAGCAGATGCTATGGTTACAATCACCCCGCAGAAGGAGATTTTGCAAAATTGTAAATAATAAAATTGTATATAAAATTAGTTGATATATATATACATATACATATATATATATATATATATATATATATATATATATATATATATATATAAAAATGCGCTTGTGTGTACATAAGCTGGTAATTGTATTCTGGTGTTTTATAAGATTCGATTATGAGCCGCGGGGCTCATTAGATGTTTATTTTTAAATTACCAGATTTTTTTTATCTAGATTAGTTCCGGTACAAATTTTAAAGAAGTCAATGTCGAATGTGCTGTAAGCACATTTTAACTGTTGTAAAACTATGCAATTTATACTGATGCATAAGAATCACAATTTCTAAAGTACTGTAGTATTTAAACATATATTAAGCTAGGATTAAAGTAACTTATATCCAAAGCAATTTCAAATAGCCCCACTATCTTGCTAAAATTAGTACTCATAATTTTTTTTTTTTGAAAAGAATTTTGTCTCACTTTTAGCTGCAGTGCAGTGCAATTTTATTATAACTTTTAGAATATAATAAGTTTTATAATTATGTCTAAAGAGAAGAATGTTTTATTCCCCTGTAAAATAACAAAACAAATTGTTTTGGTTGGTGAACATAGAATAATAAATTATTCTAATTACTGAGCCTTAAGTAAGAATGTTTGATCACTGAAATGGTTCACCATCCTCCTAAGAGCATGTACGTATTTATATATTTAAATAATTTGTGTTTTGATTTATATATAAATATTTATAATTTAATTCCATTTTAATTGTATATACATTAATTATTTAATTTACAAATAACTTAGATCTCAAACAATTACAGTGTGTGATAGCTGTAGCTAACCTTGTATTTGTGCTGACGATATGTTGGGTTAGTGTGTATTACGGCTATGAGCAAATTTGACAATTTATGAGCGTATGTCATTTTCCAAATAAATAAGTGAAATGAAAAAGGTTGGTTTCTAATTTATAGCTTAATAATAATATATTTATTATTAACTTCCCAAAGAAGTTTTTATGAAAGAAATCTAGATGCTAATTTTGTAGCCACAATGTTGCAAAAAATTATTGTTTGAAGAAAAATCTTTCAAAATTTCAAATATAAAATTATTATAAAATAAAAAATGTGCTAAACAGTAGTACATTTAAAATATTGTTTGAAGAAAAATTCAATATGGATAAATTTTAATTTTATTTATTAGAATACAAAAACAAATACATCTATACTACTCTACGCACTTCAAAGAATCTTTTCAAATAATAAACTTGTCCTATCGTCATAACAACTAAAACACAAGCTTCAAACGTTGACCACATAACTACCCTCGAATTCGTGCTTTCGTTTATAGCACGATGGATTCTATCTCTCACCTTAAAAAAATTATGTAATAAATTATATGCAAAAGAAATTATATATCATGTATGGTTATTTATTTACCTGCATATATTCCTGTTCATGTTTCACACCTGATAATGTGCTCGATAACTCTTTGATCATTGATTCTAATTTAGAATGCCCTGCTTCTCCTTCGTTTACAGCACCTGATGTACCTTTAGGAGGTTCTCCAATCTCCATATTAAACATAACTACCTGGAATGCAATTATGAACAATTTTAAAAACTATTTTGTAAATGCAAGACGCAGATGTTGTTTGACTCCATGATTAGATGATAATTTTGGATGTCGGATAATTACTGCAACATTTTAAATAAACTCATGAGAACTATAAAACTCAGTTTCTGAATAAAAATAATATTGTGCTAAAAAAGTTTTTTATGAACTGTTCAAGACAGTTGATGAAAGTGCAGTTTGTTTTAAAATAAAAGTGCTAATTTTTGTGTTGGAAGGTGAGATCAACTAATTTATTACATTTATCTGCAGATATTGCATAAATGTACACTAAACATTTTAAAGAGGCACTTTTGAACTTGAGCACTTGATCTAAAGAGGAAAATAAGCATACAGTACTTCTTTTGTGCATTAATAATGTTAAATTTACCTTTGGAGTCATTGTGGACATTTTGTTACCAAAACAGTATGTATAAACTCCAGTTTTCTGTGCTGAAAATGTGTATTTTCCCGAAGTTTCCCTTTCACCTTGATAAATCACAGCACCTTCAGGATCTGTTATATGGACATCGATGTCTAAAAAGCCTCCTTCAGCGATTTCAAACATTAAACCTATAATGGAGTTTATATACATTATTAATGATCCAGAAGTGTCCGATATTATATATATAAATATATATAAATATAATATATATATATATATATATATATATATATATATATATATCCAGAAGTGTCCGATATTTTATATGAATACAAAAAGTTTGTGGTATAAAGTTTTTGTGTTTGTGAGAGGGCGGTATCTAGCAGATACGTCAAATGTGAAGTGAAGTGATGATTTGTCTAAAGTAGTGAAATATAACTTAAAATCAATAGTGTCTCATGGAGCAATAAATAATTTGAAGATATAGTTGCAGATCAACAGGTGTGTGGGATTAAAATTTTTCAAATTCTGGTAAGAACACTAAAAACTAACTAAAGTAGTCTTATTTCCTGATACTGAATTTCACACGCATATATAGTTATATAGTACATATTATCATTAATATATACCGATTCACTATATATGAACACAAAATATCCCCTTTTATTATCATCTTTCTATAAATATCCATAATTTTCTAATCCTAACCCATCATTGTGCCAGCTTCTACTTTGTCGAAAAAACATTCTTCAGCGTGTGCATCTACAGTTATGAAATAGCATTCGTTGTATTGAAAACAAGCGAAAAGTACGATAAATAAATATAAATAATTCATATTAACACTATTTTGAGATATTTTATACTTAAAAACTACGGCCACGTAAGTCAAAGTTAAATGTATTTATTTGGCTTTCGAAATGTCAAGCTGTCAATCGGGCAGGGGTGGCAACATCGGATTTCGAAACAGTATTCGTGTATTGTCAGCTATCATGAGTGAAGTGAGTGAAGTGTTCGTTTGCTGCCAAGTCATTCAACCGGGGCGCCAACAATAGGAATGTGGTCAAAATTCGAACTAGTTGTAAGAAACAAATTGCCTTAAGGCAAGTTGCATGAACTTCTCTATGCGTATACATAATTATTCTAATTAAGAATTGAGATTCAGATACTTACAATTAGGCAAAATTTTAAACTTTCTATTTCGAAAATAACTTTTTCGCTTCCGCTTCCAAGTTGTCAATACGATTTCTAACCGATGTCTTTCACACATACATATAACATCCCTAATTGTATAAATTAAATTAATTAGTTTCACATATTTCATTTCACCTATTTCGTGTTCTAAACAAGTGTTTTATGGATTAAAGTTTGGTCGTCAACTGCGATCAGTAGATAACGAACGCATGTACGAAAAGGTGCGTCCACACCTAACGAACGAACACGAACGAACATGTCGAACAAGAAAATACAAAGATGAACGAACAGGAACACGAACGAACGCGAAAAATTCCAAACGAACTTGAACAAGCGCTTAAAAGCAGTGAGCGCTTGAATTTTCGTTGTTCGTAGATGTTCCGTGAAACGTCAGTTTTATTATTGATATGGATGTAAGCTTTAATCATACGGCATTTTCACTGGTTTTTGTGTGATTTTTGTTCGTGTATATTTTGTAAATATACTGTAAATAAATTATTCAATTAATTTCACTCAGTTTTTGTATTTAATATTTATATTTTGAGTCGTTTTCTTTCCTCAGCATTCATATTCGGAGCAAGCTGAACATTCCAGGCTTGAGCTAACTATACTCAATTTTCAAACTCTCATCCTCAACATATACATGTATGTTGAATGTCTATGTATGATAACAAGTTTAATATTTAATTGTAAAGACTGCAATTTCTTCTTTACTGCAGCTTCTGACATCCCAAACGTTTTGCCTACACTTTCCCAAGCATCGTTTTTTTTTCTAATAATTTTATAAAAAGGGTCTTTAGTCTCCCATATTATAGGAAACTTATCTATTTCATTTATGAATGATAAAATTACGTCATTTGACCATTCCATAATTTATTCAAAATTTTCAACCAATACAATAATTAAAAGTAAATATTATTAAAATTTTCAAACTGTACACAATAATTAAAAGTAAATATTATTAAATTATTAAAATTATTATTAAATTATTATTAAATTATTAAAATTATTAAAACAAAAATGTTCGTTTGCGTTCGTTGTGACGTCCACACTGCACATACGAGTTCAAACATGAACGAACAATTCCCTTTGATGTACCGACAAGTTGCGGAACATTGCTCGCCATGTTTGTTTATGTTCGTTCGTGATCGTCGTAGCGCCACACTATGCTGTCGCCGTTCGTTCTGGTACGTTCGTTTATGTTCGTTCGTGTTCGTTCGTTAGGTGTGGACGCACCTAAACACGAAACGTTCATATTTGCTCGGCATAGATTCTGATTAGATTCGCTTAAGCGCCCGGCGAAATTCTAAACTTTGATTTAGAATTTGAAATTTATAATTTATGTTGCAAAAGTTTTTTTTTTGTTTAATACCAAATAAACGTGAAAAATTTTGTTCTGAATTTGTTCAGTCGTTTTTGAGAAAACGTTGGCGAAATTCAAATTTTGACTCATTACTTAACAAAAGCGACTTTTGACACAAATTTTGACTACATGAGCTTTTCTAATTAAACTACATATCGTAGGGCCGTAAAACTCTAGCATGTCATTATGTCCAAAATTCTCTATCATCATAAAAAAATTATCAAAATCGTTTTCCAACATATGCTTATGAAGAAACGGCGCAGCCGATCTTGAAAACTAACTAATATCTTTCAAACGATTTTTGAATTTTTAAAATCGATTCGGACTAAAATGTAGACTAAAAATTTTTGCACTTTTTATACACGCGATATTTTTATCGAATTACATCGAACGGATTTTCATTGCTCATACTGAAAACTGTAAATTTCAAGCGATTCAGAATGACTTGAAACCTTGAGAAAACAAAATTAGCAAATTTAATTTTCTGGCGAAAACAAACTTCTTTATAAAATTAAAAAATATATATGTATAAAAACTTTGTACATTTATATAAGTATATTTGTACATGTTCACTATATATATAAACCCCTTTTTACACGGTAGATAGGTTCCATAAAAAACCGTGTAATTGGAAAAATTCACTTTTATATGGAAAAACTGTGCTAAACGAAAATCACTGTAAAAAAGCCCCTTTTGTCAGTTTTTAATATGATGGAAAACAAAGACATCAAACGAAACATAAAGATTAATATATTTAATATCAAACACATTTAATAAATTATTAGAATAATAATTTATTTCAATATAATATATAATATAATATACAATATAATACAATATAACATATAATATAAAAAACTATTTTAAATATTGCGTTTTCTTTATAGATAAAAATAAACAAGTTTAAAAACAATGATATTTTTGGTTTTGGTATTTCAAACAAATTAGCTTATACACACTAATATTTAGTTTTGATCATAAAACGGGGAGTTTTCATCTTATCTACATATTTCTATCGTTAACATAAACTACAAAGAATTCGTAACTGTAACATACATTTTGTAGTGTTGTATTTTGACAGTAAAACAATGAAAAAGTTATTGTAGATATAAGAAAATTATAGTTTATAGTTTATAATAAAGGTGTAAATGCAAAACTAATAAATTTCGTTAAAAAATTAATTTTCAAGCAACCCTGTAAGATCTGAAACTTGTTGTGCAATCAACGTGAAAACTCGTAATTTAATATAAATTTATATAAAGGAATCAATAGTATACGAAGCATGTAAATTAAACTTCAACAACTGTATAACAAGTCACTTTGAATTTAGTTGATAATGTATTTTGTATGATGTTATCTTGAGAGCATTCTGTGGGTAAGAGGAAGAGGGCACTTCAATTTTGCCTCGATAAGATTTCGCATGACTTCGGAAGTCTTCGGAAGGTTCCGACTTTCCTGCGTGTTGCCTGTGCCTAGAGCCTTAGGCACGGTTCCTCTTGTCTTGATAAGAGTTGCGCAACAGTGTAAAACGAAGGATAGTTATATATATATATTTATATATATATTGTAAGGGTATGCTCCCATTCGTAATAATTATAAATAAATATTATAAAACGGTCAAAATATAAACTACGCAGTTCTGCAGACTGACTCATGCTATAACATTGTATGCTCGAGATATCCTTGACTAGCCCAGCGAGCGTTGATAAAATTATTATTAATTAATTATTAATTATTATTAGTAAAACATCGAGTTGCACTATGCAGTGACATTGAACAAGGATTATAAAATGACTTTGAGGGCGACCTGTTAAAAAGGCTTGCAATGACGAAGTCTTTGGTCATTTAGTTTCCATAAAGTTCAGATCAATATGAGTTAGGCAGAGGCACTTTAGTTATCAATGGAGTCATATTTAAGTTCAGTTGTTAAGTTAATGTAAAGTGTACAAGAAATTATGAAATAAACAAATACATAAGACGTCTTCGTCTGTTATACTGACCATCCTCCACAGGTAACAGTTTTGTTTAGCATCAGGAGGAACTTGCATACATCTTTGGCATTGTCGGTGAAATTTTGGTGCCATCGGTGGTTAAAATATATATATATATATATATATATATATATATATAATTAATTTAATTAAGTCTAATTAAGTCATTCAATCTCAATCCGAAGAAGTCTCTTCAAATTCATAGTCCGAATACGATGCACCTTCTTCAGACAATAACTCCGAAATCAATCTACAAAATAATTGTATTAATCATTTTTGTAATATTCAAAAAATTATTTAAATATTTAAAATACTGACTTCAAAAACTTCACAATTGTAAAATGAGGTTCGCCAAAAAACTTCTACACGAAACTTGAATCCATTAACGCTTATGAATTCTACATCCATCAGAATCATTTTTCCCACTTGGGGATCCATTGGCAATTGTGCCAATTGATATCCTAGTAAAGTCAAATTTTCTTCCGAATCTAGAGCATTTAATCTGTAATTACAAAAAACAAGTAACTTACTAACATAAAACAGCCAATATACTTCTATGGTAAGACTAGCTGTAAGTGGAATTCTGTCTTAAGGCAATTAAGGCATCGTGCCTTAAGGCAAATTGCGGGAACTTCCCGTACCAAAAATTATTATTTTTTTAAAAACGATTGACATTTTTTAAAAAAAATTACTTCGAAAAAATAAGATTTTTGAGAAACTATAAATTGGACAAAAAATTACTTTTTTTTGAAATTTTTTTTTTTTTTTTTTTTTTTAAATTTATTTTGGAAAAAATAATGTATTCTTTATTTTGGCATATTTTGGAAGATCTGAACTTTTTTTCAAAGCAATCGTACTGCTTTAACTGCATAGAAACAAAATGTCAAAGCGCGTAAGCGCCGTGTCGCTGTCTAACGAATAAACATTGGTACGGAACCCATAGGAATGCAAACAAAATTTATATTTATTGTTAAAATCTCTATAAAATATCTGATAATTTGATGTGCATATGTCTAATGATCATTTTGACCGCCAAATGCATTTTTTTTTACTTTTTTCGTTAGATCTCCGAACCGCTAGACCTGCCCTCATGAAAATTGACCAATTCTTCATCTTGTCAATACAAGTCAAATGTTTTTGAATTATTAAAATCGGAGGCTCGTTCTCTTAAAAACTGAGTTACCGTTTTCGGCACTTTTTGCCCCGTATCTTTGGAACGGCTGGACCTGCCTTCGCCAAAAACTAATCAGCACGTCTCCTTATCAATACGAATCGAATTATTCAAATCGGTTGATCCGTGTTCCCGAAATCGTCGACGAAAATTTGTATCCGCACATACATACACACACACAAACACACACACACACACACATACATCCATTTTTTCTAAGGTATGCCAAAATATTCAGAAACCTCTGAAACGTAAAGATATATAAAAATTTTCATTTTCGATTTTTTTGCGATTACTATAACTTGCCCTACGGGAAGTTAACAATCATTACAACTGATGAATTTTGTTATATTTCTATTTTACCATTATTGGTTGGGGTACAAATGTATGTATATATAATATAATTAGGATGGGGTCCTAAGTAATATACATAATTAGGATTGCCGTGGCCGAGGTCGTTATGGACCGATATGGATGGCGTCGCGCGTTCGACAGTCTGACATCAGGAACCAGCGGTGTCCATTTTCAATGAAAAATATAGATCATAATATGTTTCCAATTGAAAATTAGTCTATCTCGGTACTGCGGTGTGAAATAGAAATAGGAAATTTCTCACACTACTTAAACTTCTCACTCTCTAAATCGAGTTCGAGTTTAACTAAGCTCACTAACCTGCCTTACGGCAGTACTACTCATTATTATTATTATATATAATTATTTTTACCTTTGTAGAAATTCAATAGAAAATTGTACAACTTTCTCATCGGGTGGATCTAGTACTTTCGCCAAAAACTCTGATATGTTTCCAAGCTGCAAGAGCTTAATTTTCAAAATTACTTCCTCGATTCTCATTCGTAACATTTCCGGCATCTGAAATTCTTTCAGCAAAGTCATCCTCGGTCTACAAAAAAATAAGGTGTAAGCGGCATTTTGCTTTAAGAACTTAGTCAAAAAGAATTTAGATTCAGCTATTTCAAAAATAAAATTTTCGCTTCCGAAAGAAATAGTAATCAATGCGATTTCTTTTAAGCGCACTTGTAATATCTATAATTGTATGAATAAATTAATTTGTTTACCACATTTCATTTCATTAGGCTTGCTACGAATATTATATTCGGCAAAATGCCGATTACCGAATATTCGGCAATTATTCGGCTGGTTTATAGCGCCTAAACTCGTTCGTATTGAAGTAATTACTATTACTAACGTACTACATGTATGTCAATTTTTAGGCTTGCAACTATTCGCTATTCGGTAACTCTTTCTTATTTGGCACTATTTATTCTATTTATTCTATTCGGCTGAATACCGAATACTTAAATAACATATGTACTAGAGAATAAAATCAAAAAGCGATACTGTACATATATATTAATGTATTTCTAATTATTTCTTTCATAAACATTTATTGTTCTCTTTGATTAATGATTAGTAATGATTCTTAACAAATAACATAAACATATAACAATAACGTGTCCTTTGAATATTGAAGAAAGAGTTCTTCACGTGTTCGTTTACAATCTCAAATCAATAAAATTTAAATTAGTATATATACAAAATATAATACCGAATTCATTTCATATTATGTAAACCTTTGAATTTAACTATTCGGTATTCGGCCAATATCAAAAAGAGTGCCGAATATACCGAATACCGAATACCGAATACCGAACAGTAACCGAATATTCGATGCAAGCCTACATTTCATCCATTTCGGGTTCTAAAGATGTATTCTATTTAGGTGTGAACGACAGGTCAACTGCAATCAACAGATCAGTAGCTTCTGATTACAGTAGAACTCCAATTATCCGAATTAATGGGACCGGACCGATTCGGATATCAAATATTCGGATAATCCAATATTCGGAGTTTTTTTTTTAAATTGCCATTGGAGAGAAAAAAAGTTACGTTTTGATATTGCACTATTTTTTTATTGAATTAAATGAAAGAAACATGACATTTTCACATGTTTTAAATAAAATAAAATGTACTTATGTACAAGTTTAGAAATAAAAATAATTGTTTTGTAAACATCTCCGTCAAACCAAAACAAACAATGTGCCTACACTTTGCTGGTGGAAGAAAATAGCGCACTTAGACTTTTTTTGGACAATTTTTTTCTGAAAGTGATTCGGATAATCGGCGATTCGATAGTCAGAGTTCGGATAATTGGAGTTCGTGATTGGATTCGGATAATTGGAGTTCTATTTAAATCGATCAGCGCGCGGTGAAATTTTGAAATTTGATGAATGAAACGCTTACGTAAGCCTATAATATTTATTTAGTATGTTATTTTAGACTACGAAATTCATCGTAACCTTAAATTTTTTCAACATTTATTACGAAGATTTTTTTACTAAAAACTAATCAACGCGATTCCCAACTAATATCTTTCGAACAGTTTTTTGTTCAGGAAGTAATTTACTACAACTTCAATATTTTATACTATTTACCTATACCTACCTACTGAACAAATGATAACATTTTCCTTCCCTAGTCCTACCAGCTCGACCTTTCCGTTGTTTCATATTAGCAACACTTATCCATTCATCCTTAAGGCTGTCTAAATTCAAATCAGCGTCAAACGATTTTATTTGGATTTGCCACAATTTATTACATATCTAATATCCTCGATTGTGATGCTGGTTTCTGCTATATTTGTCGATACAATTATTTTTCTCACACCTTCTGGAGGACTTTCGAAGATTTTCTTTTGATTTGCAGTCGATAATTTGGAATGCAAAGGATAAATCTGGACAGATTTATTATATTTATCAGATTCACTCAGCAAAGATTTGTGTAACTTGGAGATAGTGTCGAGTCCTACAGAATAATTATTAATTAACAATAGGTACAGTAGAACTCCAATTATCTCAATTAATGGGGACCGGGACCCATTCGGATAATCAAATATTCGGATAATCGGAGTTTGTTTTTAAAATTGCCATTGGAGAGAAAAAAAGTTACGTTTTGATATTGGACTATTTTTTTATTGAATTAAATGAAAGAAACATGACATTTTCACATGTTTTAAATATAAATAAAATGTACTTATGTACAAGTTTAGAAATAAAAATCATTGTTTTGTAAACATCTCCGACAAATCAAAACAAACAATGTGCCTACACTGGCTTTGCTGGTGGAAGAATAATAGCGCACTTAGACTTTTTTTTGGACAAATTTTTTTTCTGAAAATGATTCGGATAATCGGCGATTCGGATAGTCGGAGTTCGGATAATTGGAGTTCTACTGTATTTGAATATTAAATATATTTTTTCATACCCGGTAGAAATATCAAAATAGCTCCATCGGGCTGTGTATCACAAATATGCCATATCAGTTTTGAAATTAGTTCCAAATTGATATCTTCTGAGAGGGGATTAAGTAAAGCTTGTATAACTTTTTTACTAAATTTGTTCTTATTTTTTTGTATATATGAGGACATTTCTTTGTATATCTGATCATTATAAGCCTTTCCTATTTCTCTTGCATTGTGACCTGAGTTCAAGTATAATATTGTATTTGAATATTAAATATATTTTTTCATACCCGGTAGAAATATCAAAATAGCTCCATCGGGCTGTGTATCACAAATATGCCATATCAGTTTTGAAATTAGTTCCAAATTGATATCTTCTGAGAGGGGATTAAGTAAAGCTTGTATAACTTTTTTACTAAATTTGTTCTTATTTTTTTGTATATATGAGGACATTTCTTTTATATCTGATCATTATAAGCCTTTCCTATTTCTCTTGCATTGTGACCTGAGTTCAAGTATAATTATGTAATACATATAGACAAATAGTCAAAATAAAAACAATATATAATTAACTACATATTTATTATATACACTTTTTCGACACTGTTTGTTGTTTTTATTCAGTAAAGAAATTCTAATAAATATTGTAGAAAGTTAAAATTAAAAATAACTGGATTAAATATTTTTCTAGTAGAATTACTATAGATTACAAGTTACACAGAAATAAAAATATGAATACAAACTAGGAAAAAGACACACACAAATTGAAAAGAAATTGTACAATTGAAACCGAAACCAATAAAATGAAATAAATAATAAACTAAATTAAATAATAAAATATAGGCCATATGATTTAAAGAATCGTAATATAAATCACGCCATTTAGAAACGAGGGGTAGTTTATTAAAAATAAAATACAAAAAATATTAACAATGGTTGAAATTATATTATGAAATATTACATGCAATGATCTATATTTTTTGTTTTTTATTACTTTTTGGATTCTTTGTTCGAAGCTCTACAATATATATATATATATATATATAATATATATATATATATATAACATATAACAAATGTATTCTGAGTGGTAAGATATTTATTTAGAAATATGAACAAATATATATATATATATATATATATACATATAACAAATGTATTCTGAGTGGTAAGATATTTATTTAGAAATATGAACAAATTGCACTCTTTTTTGCACCAATTTATTAAATACTTACTGGTTGTGCTCACCAGTAAGTAAAATTAATATTATTTAATAAATAACTGCAAAAGAGTGCCGTTTGTTCATATTTCTAAATTGATATATATATATATATATATATATATATATATATATATACATATATATACATATTAGGGTGGTCCTTAATGACATTTTCTAATTTCCTTGCTCCCAAGGACTCAAATGGTTTCAAATTGATAAAAAACAATTCTCTGAAAGTTTTAGCTCTTAATATTGTCTTTTAGATAGTGCGCAATTCAATCAAAGTTTTGTATGGTATGAAATGATATGCAGCCCATTCCTCGAATTATGAAATGGTTAGAAGAAAAATTATTCTTTATTGACTATGTGTTTCGATACCTCGGGGCAAGTTTATGCAAATTGCTGTAAGGCAAAGTGCAATATACAACTAGTTGTTTATTTCTATTGAAGATCATGTTCTTAGCTGATGATATTTTTATAAAAAACTTTTTGGTTTTTATTTATATACAATATATACAAATCTAAGATTCAAGATCCATTGTATTTGTACCTGTAGCAGTTTTAAAACTGTAAAAGTTCAATTCTTCTAACACGTCCTCCAAATAAAATTCCTCAACATCATAACAAAAACCTGGTATTGTAATAATATGGCATTTATCAAAATAATTTGAGAAGATTTCTGCATTCAATGTAGCACTCATTAATATCACTTTTAAATCTTTCGATGAGGAATAATGTTCTCTTTTAAAACTGTTAATAGCAGATCGCAATTAACATCCCTCTCATGTATTTCGTCGATGATGAGGTGTGAATATTCCTGCAGTACAGGACTGCTTTCTAAGGTTTGTAGAAGTATTCCAGTGGTGCAAAATAATATACTACCAGATTTTCTGGGCATAACTCTGAAGTAGAATATAAAAGTTAGTCTTAGCAAATGTCATACAATATAAGTACATAATAATTATTCAAGATTAAAAATATTGAACTAACTTTTCAAGTCGAATCTGGTATCCTACCTTACACCACAATTTTCATTTCTTTCGGATGCCACTCTTTCTGCAACAGAAATTGCACTGATTCTTCTGGGCTGAGTGCAAGCAATTTTACATACACTGCCATTTCCAGACATTAAAGCATCATCTAATAAAAATTGGGCTACCTGAAAAATATTCATTATAACTTGTTATATTGTAGAAGAATATTCATTATCTTTACCTGTGTTGTTTTCCCACATCCAGTTTCACCGCTTATTAATGTAACTTGATTGTCTTGAATATGTTTAATATTTGGTCCTTCATCTGGAACGCAGGCAAAGCCTTGCGAGACTTTTGCATTGTTTTATAAGTCATATTGTCATGTTTATTTATAAACTCTGATTGCAGTTCCTGATTCAGAGCATCATCTTGTGTAATTTTATTTTTGTTCGCCCTTTCTAATCGTTCTTCAAATGATTCATTAGAAGCTAATTGTTTAAAGTAATAGGGCATACAATGCTCAGATAAATATGAAAATTTTTTTATATCAGGTGTATTGAGCAACGAGCTTATTTTATCAACTTTTCTTTGGCTGATTCTTATTACAGGTATCTTAATTAAAAATAGAATTATTATGAATGCGTGCACACACATAGATATATTATATATACCACACAACACATATGCATATATATATATATATATACATACACAAACACATATGCATATATAGATATATATATATATATATTATATATATAGAGTAAGTTCTTCAAGGGCATACATCAAATAAAAGGCAAAGATTTAGAAATTAATCTTTAATTTTTCCAAACGTTTCGACATAGTATTTTATGTCATCATCAGTGGATATAAATATGGTCTTACATCAGTAGCTAGCGCAAGGCACATAATTTTGCACTATCATATATACACTAACTTGTTTTTTTTTTTATTATTTTGTTGAACAGAGCATAGCAAAATATTTGTGAAATATATAATATATTTTGCAAAGCTCTGTGCAAAATATATTATATATTTCACAAATATTTTGCTATGCTCTGTTCAACAAAATAATAAAAAACAAGTTAGTGTTATATGATAGTGCAAAATTATGTGCCTTGCGCTAGCTACTGATGTAAGACCATATTTATATCCACTGATGATGACATAAAATACTATGTCGAAACGTTTGGAAAAATTAAAGATTAACTTCTAAATCTTTGCCTTTTATTTGATGTATGCCCTTGAAGAACTTACTCATATTTCTCAACATCAAAACTAACTTCTTTAACATATATATATATATATATATATATATATATATATATATATAGAAGTGAACCGAGGGTAAAGAGAGGTTAGGTGCATTAGCAAAAGATAGTCTGTATAAATTATATTTACTAACTAGAAATTTTGATGTTCTACACACTAACAATAATTAAGTAATTCTTTTTACTACTCTATAAATATTCTAAAAAAACTGTACAAGGTAAAACAACAAATAAACAGAATTAACAAAAAATTGCAGTGGGTAAACTATCTATATAATTTGCTAACTTCTACATCCACAATTTTGCATATATGGCTAAATAATGTTTGCTGCTACATATATATATATATATATATATATATATATCTTTTCCTTAACTACCTTTTTCATATTTCTTGTTGCTGTTCCTTCTTTATACGATCACGGTACCACGAAATATTATCTCCTGCACGTACATCTGCAGGAGGTCCACCCCTATTCTTCTGAAACCGTTTACGGAAGTGGTATGATGGACCATCATTCCCTCTTCCCAAATTGAAGTTATAGCTCGCAGGGGAATATTTTGTAGGACGCTTGTTTTTACTTGTTTCAGTATTTTTGTTAATTTCATCATCATCGGAACTATTATTAGGTGGATAATTAACAGGTGTCCGAAAACCTCTTCTAGAACCCCTGTGACCTCCTCTGCTCATTGCCTGCATTAGTAATAATATTAATATAAAGGTTATAGATCCATTGAGAAATAGCAAGACTAAATGCAGGACTATTAAGAACAGCGAATAACAATATTATTAATAAATATATGCTATTATACTTACTTTTGCTTTCATAGCTATTTATATATATATATATATATATATATATATATAATATATATATATATTTAATTTGTATATCATAACCTCTCAGAAATAGCTTAAAGTTTACTTATGTCATGTTTATTTATCTATAATACTTGTCATACCTACTCTTCAAAAGAAAAAATATATATATTTAAGCTTTTGTTTTGTTCATACATTAATTGTTATTAATAATTGCCAATCATATCAATTAGATATAAAGAATAAATAATTGCTCCAGAGCCTGATTTTCAAACCGAATATGAATAATTCAAATTACGCGCCTAAAAATGCTATGTGTGTAATTCAAACATAAAGAAATGCGTATTGTGTATAATTCAATTGGAAAACTAGTTGGTATTGGTATTTTCCTTAGGCAAGTTACATGAACTTCCCGTATGTGTAAATAATCGACTCAATCAATAAAAAATAAATTAATTTATGAGTGATTATAAGTATTCCGAGTGGATTTATTATCAATAATGAAAACGAACGAACACGTTAACTCGGAGTTTTTCTAAAAGCATTTTCAAAAATCAATAATTTTTAATTGAACCAGTTTTCGTAGGACGTTAATGGTTTAGTATGTTCATTAACACCATAATCTATCGTTATACCAAGTAAATCATCTAATTTTAATTTAACGACGTCAAAAAACTACTCATTTTCTCAAATTTTGATGATTTTTTAAAATTAAACTATTTGTCGTAGGCCGTATATTTCAGTAAGTTCTAAAGACCATGAATATGTCGCAAAAAAGTTCCATAAAATCGGCTTAGTTTTTTTTTTTTCAACGTTAATTACAAGAAAACGGTTCAGTAGTTTTTTCGTTAAAACTAATCATTATCATCCCACTAATATCTTCGAACAGTTTTTGATTTTTTAAAATTGATTCGGCAGTATGAGCTTAAAATGTAGACGAAAGGTTTACCACTTTTTCAAATTACAAAAAAACGGCTTAGCAGATCGTCGCACAAAACTGACGAACGATAGTCCTCATTGAGACACATCAAATGGCTTTTAAATTTCTGAAATCAGTTCAGGCGTTTTTGAGAAAAACTCGATCAAAGGTGTAATTTTGACAAATGCCAAGAAATGATATTAATTTTTGCAAACTTTGACGAATTTTTAAAATTAACGACTTGTCGTAGGGCCGTAATATTTTAGTATGATCCATAAGACTATGGTATCTACCGTCAAAATAATAATCATGAAAATCGTCGAAAAAATTTTTTTAACGCGTTATTACAAGAAAACGGCCCGGCTGATTTCTACCAAAAACTAATCAGCACATTCCCAACCAATATCTTTCGAACGGTTTTTGAATTTTCAAAATCGATTCGGAATTGCGGGCTAAAACGTGGACGAAAATTTTTCACTTTTCTGCTATTTATAATGAAACGGCTTGGCCGATCGTCGCACAAAACTGAACACAATAGATAGTTCGTTATGAATATTTTAGATTCTCATGTTGTCTAGGGCTGGTTTATATAGTTTATATACTAAAAATCAAAACATACTGTTATGCTTATAAGCGATACATACTGTTATGTGTTTTTAACCTATATATTGCGATACTGATTGGTATATTTCACTCGATGATTCAACTAAAGTAAACGTAAAGGTGCGTCCTCACCTAACGAACAAGCACGAACGAACACGACGAATAATATACGCAACTGCATTATCGCCAAGCGAAAGCATAACTACTTGCATATTTTTCGTCGTGTTGGTTCGTGCTTGTTCGTTAAGGCGTGCCTCACCTAACGAACGAGCACTTTTTTAATACAACCACGAAAGATACGTTCGCTATTTTTCCGTCTTAACAAATTGGAATTTTTGTTTAGATTTTTGTTTATAAGCGTAGTGCAGGAATGCGTGATCGAGCACAAACAGTATATAAACAATTTCCTTTATAGATTCGAAAACTTGAATTGTTTTGATTTATTTAATATCTGTAAATAACATAGATAAAAATACGTCGATAGATGCATGAACATAATTTCCAGTCATTCGAATCAATCTGAATTGAATTATTTGATTCGAATCAACTCACATTAAGCCGAGAAATATTGACTGTCATACAATGTATGTATGTATGTGTACAATGTCATGTATGTATGAACATACATTTTAATAAGCATAAAAAATAATATAAATATAACTAGTTGTAAGTAGCATTTTGCCTTAAGGCAAGTTGCATGAACTTCCCGATACTTATCCATCATCCAATCATCTAAATCAATAAAAATTTATATTCAAATACATATTTAGATAAAATAATCAATTATTTATTTAAAAAATAGCAATTTACTTAAATTCCACTAAAAAATATCAATACGATTTTCAATTGATGTCTTTCGAACATACTTAAATCCATTATGCTTATTTATCTATGCTTATATCATCTGTAATTTTATAATTTAAATTAATTTGTTTATAATATATAATTTCATCCATTTTGCGTTCTTAAAATGAATTTATTTGAGTGTGGACGTTAACTTCAATCTGTAGCTACTTGTGAAACGTACATATGATTTAGAATCGCTTAAATACAAGCATTGATGATTTTTTATATTTCAACCTTTTATCGCAGACCTATAATATTTTAGTATAATATTTCAAACTGTGAAATCTTTCGTTTTCATCAGAATCGTCAAAAAAAAAACGATATTTAATTACGAAAAAATGGCCGATTTTTACCAAAAACTAACCAACGCAATTCTAAACTTATATCTTTGAAACAGTTTTTGATTAAAGTTTAAAAGCGATTCAAGATTGTGGCTTAAATTGTGCACAAAAAATTTGACACTTTTTTCAAATCTAAGTTATAATTAATAAAATAATAATAAATAACTAAATAACTAAAAAAATAATAATAATCTAAATCAAAGTAATAATTGTAAAACATGAAATTCAATGTAGAAATGTAGTAGCTTACCTCAAAATATTTCAACACAATATAAAATATATATACACACTTACGTTTTAAACTAACTTGCTATTTTGTTGAATAATGTCAATAACTAACCCGGTATTACTTTACACAATTTATTTAACAACTTCAAAATATCAGACAGCAATCGCTCACACCAGCTCACACACTGCTCTAAATATACTATATTTCTTTCATATTGTCTAGGCTCCTCCTTCCAATATATCTTTTATATTCAACACCTAACTCTGATTGGTCAGAGACGTCAGAGACATATTTTACCTTGCCAGGGTCGGACACTATCACTATTGCATATCCATAGAGCTCACACGTCAGGATGGACACTGTCAGCCGTTATATTCAAATATGAATATTAAATATTACAATATATATAAAGAGGGGTATTCATAGATAAGTAAGCATAAGGGGGTATTCTAGTGTGGAGACATAAATTTTAGGTAATTTTTAAATCATCGTAAAAAAGGCAATTTTTGTTTATTTTGCACAGATTCTGATTAGAATCTTGTAATATCTGAGTTTTTGTAATATATTTTTGTGGTAGTTATATTATATTTACAACCTTTATTTTGTCGAGTAAATTGGTTTTAACTAAATTTTAATTCTACTACATTAATGCATCGTGAGTTTTTTGTCTTAACTGATTTATCCAATCGGCTTGATTCGAGTTGATTCAAATCAGTTTTTTTCTGATTCGAATCATTTGAATCTCACTAGTCAACACTGTTTATTCTTGTCGACCTCTATCTGTCAGCTGATTAAACATGGCAGCTGTCAAACAAGTGTCAAATTGTCCATTGTTGACCTAAGAATATTGCGTATTAAATTCGTCAATTTTTTATCATTTTACGTGCTGCTTGGCACATTAAATTATATAAAACTTCTAATAGAATTTAATAACTGATAATAAACTTGACAAAGATACAAAGTGGGAGTTATTCTCTAATTAATATACGTTAAGTGCAATGGGAGTTTGAGTCGAATACCAATGGCAGAAAAACCAGGGCCGTTATCGGCCCAACAAGCCCCTTTAGTTAAAATAGGCCACTATACTCTAGGCCAAACTTTAGGTGTAGGCACATTTGGTAAAGTTAAAGCTGGCGAACACCAATTGACAAAACATAAAGTGGCTGTGAAAATATTGAATCGTCAAAAAATTAAAAGTTTAGATGTCGTCGGAAAAATTAGAAGGGAGATACAGAATCTTAAACTATTCAGACATCCACACATTATTAAATTATACCAGGTAATTTCTACACCTACTGATATCTTTATGATAATGGAGTATGTAAGCGGTGGTGAATTGTTTGATTATATTGTAAAACATGGGAAACTGCAAGAGCATGAAGCTAGAAGATTTTTCCAACAGATAATATCTGGTGTAGATTATTGTCATAGACATATGATAGTGCATCGGGACTTAAAACCCGAAAATTTATTACTGGACCACAACATGCATGTTAAAATAGCTGATTTTGGTTTATCCAACATGATGATGGACGGTGAATTTTTAAGAACCAGCTGTGGATCTCCCAATTATGCTGCTCCAGAAGTTATTTCAGGGAAATTATATGCAGGACCTGAAGTTGATATTTGGTCCTGCGGTGTTATATTATATGCTTTATTATGTGGAACATTACCTTTTGATGACGAACATGTTCCGACACTGTTTAGAAAAATTAAATCAGGAATTTTTCCAATACCTGAATATTTGCACAAGCCTGTTGTGAGCCTTCTGTGTCAAATGTTGCAAGTAGATCCTATGAAAAGAGCGGCAATTGATGATGTTAAGAATCATGAGTGGTTCCAAAAGGATTTGCCTGCTTATCTATTTCCTTCTCCTGTGGAGCAGGATAGCAGTGTTATTGATACTATTGCAATTGCTGAGGTAATTAATAACAATTATACTGATCTTAATTAAATTTTTAACTTTGCGAAGGAGAAGTTTGCTTTTGCAAAAAAATCCGATTTGCTAAAGCCCAGTGCACACGACGCCAATATTTCTTGTAACAGGATTTCTGTTAAGTTTCCTGGTAATGTGAGCAGAATTTTGCGCCAGATTTTCATTATTTTATGATTACTAATAATTTTGTGCATTTTGAAATTGATTATTATAAATATATACTGTGAATATCCCAATTCATATTTTATAGGCCTAAAATGCACTAATGCTTATAAGTGTACAAATAGAGCATTGTATATTTGAAATTTTTCCGGTAATTTAAATATTTTAAACTTACTGAACTGCATTTCCCTATAACTAATTATTTTTTCACATCGCTCTATATAAACAATAGCTATTCACAAAATAAAAACTGAACGCTTCCAAAGTCGAAGTACATGATCAAGTACACATTGATATTTACGTGACAAAATACAGCTTTTCTATTGGTCACTGAAAGTATCGGCCACAAAACAGTTCATTAATCGACGAATAGAACATCATAAAATACGGCCCGAATTTTCGAAGACAGGAGTTGTTGGGAAATCAGTTTCCGACGTTGCTAGGTAACGGTTATAGACAGAAATTATGTTAAGGATACTGCCGTTGTGAATAGAGAGCTTAAACGTGAAATCTGGTTGGCAAGATCGTAAAATATGTCGGGGAAGATCGTAAATTATGATTTATCACATCGTTGCTAAGTAACAAAATCTGGCGTCGAGTGCACCGGACTTAATTTTATGTTTTCTCGACGTATCGAGCCTTTCTGTGTCGAATGAGACCGAATTTGGAAAAAGTATAATGAGCGTGTGTGTGTATGTGAGAGAGAAAGCCGATTTTTGACCTTTCATTGACGATTAAGTCGACTATTCTCACATATCGAAAAGTCAATGTAACTTGCCTTAAAGGCAAAATGCCACTTACAGCTACTTCATTCATTTATTTGATATTAAATTATAAAATTGCTTATAGGTATGTGAAAAATTCGGTGTTAAAGAATCTGAGGTCCACAGTGCATTACTCAGCGGGGACCCTCATGATCAATTAGCTATAGCATACCACTTAGTAATAGACAACAAAAGAATAGCCGATGAAGCTGCTAAAGCTGAACTGAAAGATTTTTATGTCGCTGGCTCTCCACCACCTGTAAGTTATAGCCCTAATGAGAAGGCAGACCACAAAAATGATTCAGCAACTGAAAATTCCACAACTGGAAAACCTCATCCTGAAAGAATTGCTCCACTGCGTGAGCGTATACCAAATTTCCAGGGAAATGCCGCTAAAGGACCCCCTGTAAAACGTGCGAAATGGCATTTGGGTATTAGATCTCAATCTAAGCCATCTGATATTATGCTTGAGGTATACAGAGCAATGAAAGCATTGGACTATGAATGGAAAGTCATTAATCCATATCATGTTAGAGTAAGGGACAAGACTAAGTTGAGTGATAAATATGTTAAAATGTCTCTACAATTATACCAAGTCGATCATAAGAGTTATCTTCTGGATTTCAAGTCTTTGAGTACTGAAGAGATGGAAACCGGTGATGAAATTTTAGACAGTGCTGGCACTACTGGAATGCAGAGTCAAATGTCCACAATTTCTGGACATCATACAATGGAGTTCTTTGAAATGTGCGCGGCACTTATTATAAAATTGGCCCATTAAGGAATTCAGATTTATTCACTTATAATTGGAGGAATTCAAAATACAATGGTACCCCGACAGTCGAGTTTAATTTGTTTCGTAACCACTCTTGGATATCGAATTGCCTCAAATCTTGAAGCAACATTTTTCATATAACTACATTAAAATGCCATTAATACTGTGGAGTTTGTTAAGTTTCTTAGACATTTAAAATAAGTTTACTTGTCATTTATTTAATTATTGTTTGAGAGTTAGACATGTTTTGTTGAACAAACTCTGTTTTGGATTCATTTATATTCACAAACTTTTGGAGCTTAGAAAGCTGCTTGTAAATTATTGTAAATTACTGTAGGCCTTAGCTGCAGTTATATCCTTTAAAAACTCCTGTTTAAACACAATACTTGTGTTACTTCACACTTTAATTGAAGAGACATGGTTTTTTTTAACCCATGATTATGAATATAAATAATATTTAATTTTTATTTAATAAAAAGCAAAACACGCGAACTTAACATATAATTAATAAATATCTGCACAATCACAATTAATGTTAAAATATCAAACATTAAAACAATTCTCGATTAATTTGCATGTTATTAAACAATTAATATTAAAATATAATTAAATTACTAACTATGAAATAATTTACTATCATAAAACAGACAAAATATTTCTATGTTAGGAAAATCTTTGCCACAATTGACGAAATTTTCATATTTTCATTTTACCATTAACATTTTCCAAGAAAACTCTGACTCGCTCGAAGCTTGTATCTCAAATTTTGCTCATTGGTTTAACCAAACAAGCCGCTTCTTTGGCGGCTCGTATCTCGAAACACTCGTACGTGAGTCGCTCGTAAGTCAGGGTACCACCGTATTGTGGACTGAACACATTTTATCTTAACCATAGCTATGTATAATATAGATTTTAAAGTTTAAAATGAAAAATATAATTGTATTTACCTTCTTGTGTGCCTCAGTCCGGTTTATTTGAACCATAAGTCTTCTAGAATAGCTTTGCTTTATTATGATAGTAATAAATGCCATAAAAGATTTTATAAATATTATGTTATAAATTATTGTTAAATATAAAAAGAAAAAATATATGAAGTTACTATGTAAATAATATATTTCAGTATAAATATTTCATTTATAATTTTAATTCATTCAGTTCATTCAATTTTAATTCATTCTAATTCTAATCACTTATGGGCGGCCAAATAAGAGCAACTTCACTATGTGCTGATTGTGGAATCCACATTTGATAAGCGGATAACAGATCTGAAAATAAATTAAGTTTTATTAATTTTCTCGACATTTCAAGTCATTCTGAATTGACTGAGATCAAATTTGGAAAAAGTATATGTGTGCGTAAGTCGATTTTTCGATCTTTCGTTGGACCGATTTCAAAAATTTAATACCCATTCGATGTAACTAAGAATATATTCCGTGTTTCGTAGATAACTACTGATTACCGTTGACGTCCACACTTAAATAAAATGGATATTAAAACTCAAAATAGATGAAATGAAATGTGTTAAACAAATTAATTTAATTTATACAATTATTGTAATCAGTCTGTTTGAAAGACATCAATTGGAAAACATGGTGAAGTGAAAATTTTATTTTTGAACATTTTACCTAAAAAGTTGAACCTCAATTCTTATTAATTAAATTGATTATGTAAACGGTATTGGAAAGTTCATGCAACCTTAAGGCTACTTACAAATGTTTTTATATCTATACAACAAACCCTTACATTTAGAATCAGTCTTCCAAGCTTCTAATAATTTATCTCTCGTATTTACTAATTTAGCAGCAAGTGTTTTCAATAAAGCATCAGTCCTTGGAAGCAATCTTGCCCAATTTTTAGTCATTGTATTAGGTTTTGATAACAAACTGTTTTTGTATTTCGATAACTTCTCAAAAACTACACCATCTAATAAAAAGTATGCAAACCACTTATAACTATCCAAATTATCTGGATATTCTATTTCAGACACTGGTAAAGTCCAACCAGATTTTCCAAAAGTTGCATTAACATGACAATATATTCTGCCTTTGTTAGAACAATACCTAGGTTCGGGATCGTTCAATGGTTCACTGAAATTACATAATAAAGGTACGTATTTAGTTAGCCATTCTGGTTCAATAGCTGTAATACCACGAATAAATATTTTAGTACTATCTCCAACTCTGGTTTCATATATATCTTGGTACACCACCCATTCTGGTACTTTCTTTTTGAGCACTGAACAAGAATGTATAAAAACAGGATCTTCCATTTCACAACATTTATAAGCATATTTGAATTTCCTTTTGTCTTCATTTTCCTTTAATTCATTTTCATTGATCTTACGAGCTACATGATCTCCTAGACCACTCAATAAAATTTGTCTTAAAAGTTTAGCTTGAAAATCTGATGGTGGATTCATTTTGGGATCGACAAATAAATTTAATTCTGGCATGTTTAAATTTATATCATTGGTTAATTGTATTCTTAACTTGCGAATTTCCGTAATTGCTTTCGGTCTTAAACCATTTTGCGTGCAGAATTCTTCCAGTTTATTAACACTTCCTGCGTACTCAGCAGCTCCTATGGCACGAAGAAGCACCATGGGATCTCCCATGTATAAAGAATTTCCAGTACCAGCCCAAGAACGTCTTGTTGTAGCCCATTTCGATTTTTGCTGTCCTTCATTGTCCAATGTTACTTCTAGCAAGACTTCTTGAACAGATAATCCTGCTACCATGCAAATGGTGTATGGTAACAAATCATGTTGATGACTCAATGCTAACATTTTACCAAACCTCGGCGCTACTGGGAATGCTGATATGGCTTTTCCTAGAGCACTAATTTTTGCAGTATAATCACTTTCCAAACTATTTTTCGTTTTGGATTGCAAAGCACCTAAAAGTGTCAACCTAGTCTCTGCATATCTCAATTGAAGAAGATCAGGTGCAGATGGAAATGGAAAGTTAACAACTTTATCTATTCCCATGCTTTTCATTTGCAACATCAAATCATCTACAGGTTTACGTTGAATATCAGGAACAGCAAAATTTTTGAATTGGTCATTGAAGACTGCACTGGAATAAAGTCGGTAACAATGTCCAGGACCAGTACGACCAGCACGACCTGCTCTTTGATTTGCAGCAGCTTTGCTGCAGTATGTGATAACAAAGGCACTTACACCAGTGATTTTGTCATAAATTCTAGTTTTTTGTCGTCCGGCATCAACAACATATTTTATATTAGGTATTGTTAAAGATGTTTCTGCTACATTAGTTGATACTACACATAACCTGGTACCTTCAGGCGGAGGCTTGAAGACTTTAGCTTGTTTATGAGAAGGTAATAGTGAATACATTGGTAGCACCCATAAGGGCTGTGTGTTTGACAAATTTACCAAGCTCATATATTCTTCATCATCAGACAAATCATTTTTGTCATCAAGTTCTTTCAAATCTGCATCTGCATCGTCACTTAGAACATCATAGTCATCTAAATTAACTTCTGGTAACTCAGTTCTTAATTTCTTATGCCTTTTCTTGGCATTGCGTATGGCTTTCTTCATACTCCATTCCACAACTTCACCATCTGAATCCAAGTCAGGTTTTTCTTCATCGTTTTTGATAGTGGAATTTTTAATATTCTTATAAGGAAAAGCTTTTCTCAATTTTCTCATCAATGAATTCACTTCTAACTGTCCAGTTAAAAAAATTAAAATACCTCCTTCTGGCAAGGTTGTATGAATTTTAACAGTTTTTCTAAATGCTTCTAATAAATAGTCATCAGGTGTTTTTTTATTAAAATGAATAGACACTGGATACTGTCTTGTCTCAATATTTATCACGGGTGGTGGAATTTTGAATAAACGTGTATTCTCAGTGAAATCCTCAATTCTTAAAGTAGCAGACATAATAATTAATTTCAATGGATCATTATGTTTATTTCTATAGGGAACAATTCTAGATAACAGTCCAATTAATATATCAGTATATACACTCCTTTCATGCGCTTCATCTAAAATAATAACTGAATACTTTTTTAATGCAAAATCTGTTTGAATCTCTTTAAGAAGTACACCATCAGTCATGAATTTTATTTTTGTTTCAGGTGTAGTATTACCCTCGAAACGTATTAAATAAGATACGATTTTATTTGATAAGTTCATTTCAGTAGCAACACGTTCTGACATTGAAATGGCAGCTACTCTGCGTGGTTCGGTGATTCCAATTACTTTGTCTCTTGCGTATCCTGCTTCATATAAAAATTGGGGTACTTGCGTTGTTTTGCCACTACCTAAAATGAGAAAAATAAATGTTTACTAAATTTACTTTGCCAAAAAAACGATTTAGTAATTTTATATTTTCTCGGAGTTTCAAGTCATTCTGAATCGAATGAGACAACATTTGGAAAAAGTACGAGTGCGAGCTGGTTTTCGATTTTTTGTCCTTGATAAGAAAATTGATAAGGAGAAGCGGCGATTAGGTTTGCGAAACGATTAGCAAAGCCATTTCTTTGAAATTAGCCTTGAAGTGTTTTTTTGTGACCGTTTTCCAAAAATTTTGCGATCATAAGATTATAAATTTGTGCATGGTTCACAGAAATTAATTCATAATTTTCTAAATAGATCTTTATATCTGTCTACAAAACTTCTCTACTAGTGTAAAAAATGTTGCCATTATTTTTAACTTCCCGTAGGATAAGTTATAGTAATCACAAAAAAATCGAAAATGAAAATTTTTATTATATATCCTTACGTTTCAGAGGTTTCTGAACAATTCGGCATACATTAGAAAAAAATGTATGTATGTGTGTGCGGATACAAACTTTTCGCCGACGATTTCGGGAACATGGTTCAACCGATTTCAAGTATTCAAAAAACTTTCGATTCGTATTGATAAGGAGGCGTGCTGATTAGTTTTTGGCGAAGGCAGGTCTAGCCGTTCCGAAGATAGGGCAAAAAGTGCCAAAAACAGTAACTCAGTTTCTAAGAGATCGGAGCGTCCGATTTTAATAATTCAAAAGACATTTTACTTGTATTAACAAGACTGTTCAAATTTTTGAGAAGGCAGGTCCAGCGGTTATGTACTCTCAATATAAATATGTTAAAAAAAAAATTGGCGGTCGGAAATGATTATTGGACATATGTACATCAAATTATCAGATTTTTTGTAGAGATTTCAATAATTTGTACACATTTTGTGTAAATTTTTTTGGGTTCTGTACCAAGATTTTTAGTTACGGTACGGAAAGTTCCAGCAATTTGCCTTAAGGCACGATGCCATGCACCCCACTAGTAAATTAATAATATCAAAGACTATGTACATGATATACATAATTGTGCCAGTATTTTCTTATAGCAGATGCTTAATATTTCACAAAATAATTTATTTTTTTTTTTTAAAAAAAAACTAATATCATTTTAAATGAAATTTAACATGGCGATAGGGTTCTGGCACTAAATAGTACCACATAAATTGGTTGCATTATATAATTTAATTAAAATTTGAAATAATCAACTACAATTTTAGGACATACAAGCCTTATAGTGTTTGTGCACTATAATTAATATAATTATAAATTATAAAATATATAAATTATTAATAAGAAAGATATCAATTGGAAATTAATTAGTTTTTAGTGCAAACCGGTAAGTGAAAACTTTATTTTCAAAATAAATAGTTAAAAATTTTATCTACATAGCTAAATCTCATTTGGTTGATTAAGACATTTATTACACATATTGGGATTTACTTTAAGGCAAAATGCCACTTAAATTTAGTATTGGTTCTATTTATGCAAATGTACAATTTGATTTAAAGTACCAACCTGTTTCTCCAGCTAATATGACAATATTGTTTTCATTTATACATTCCATAACCACTTGCTCTTCGCCTAAAATGGGTAATTTTAATCTAACTGCTTGTATTTCGGGGTCTCTATTAACTTCCACAAAAATTGCAGGCCGTTTTTCAACAGCTTGAGCCACTTTCACTGGCTTTGTTTTGCCTTTGTTTAAATCTTTGTTTAATTCCACATTCATTTCCATTTCTTCATTCAAGCTATTTTTATCAACCTCATTTTTCTTTTGAGGATTTTCATTAATCATCTCATCAACGGATTCAATTTCATTGTCATCAGGTGTTGCATTTTCATCACTTTTTGTAGTAATATCATCATTTTCTGGATCACTTATTTCACTTTCGGAGCTTTCATCATCATTATCAGAGTTAACAATATCATTATGACTGAACTCTAATTTCTGTTGTTTATCAGCTACGTTATTCAACAAATACTTCCTTTTTCTACTACCTAAAAATATATATAAATACAGTTTTCTGAGAAATCGCCACACACTTATTAAAATAATTGTTTTCTTCACCTGCTACACTTGAGAATTTAACATTTTTCTCATCGGAGACTTGTATTTTCGCTGGTTTTGATTCAATGTTTTTTTTAAAATTCTTCAAGCCTTTTGTTTGAACAAGGGCAATTGGGGTCAATTGAGCTAGCTCACTTTCAGGGTACTTGAACGCTAGCCAAAGCTTCTAACAGGGCGCTTCTCTGTTAACATCAATAATATTAAAAAATATTGAACAATGATTATTTATTTAACATCCATAGAAATTACATACTACTATATTGTATATATAAGGTTGTTAGGAAAGTCACTTCATTTTTTTACCACCAGAATTTAACTATATTTTTTTGAACCTAACATCACACTTAAGCCCTATAATTATTATATGATTTAAAAACTTATATTTTAAGTCTTGTGTGTAAAAAATTCTAATTGATTACATGCAGTAGTTTTTGGATGGTGCCACTTTAAATAAGGAAAGCATTATCGCACTAGCGTCCGCGATTTGCCTCTAAAAAGTCTTGGAAATGATGAGGTTTTGAAGTGAATTGTCACTAGGAATTTCAAATGGGATGTAAGGAACACAATACACGCAATTGTCCATGAAACAAAAAAAAAAGAACCTGCTCAAAACAGATGCAAAGCTGAAATTTGCCAGAAAAAAATGATGCAGTTTGGTAAGATTTTAAAGTAGTTGTTAATTTTTCAGCTTTTCCAGGATAACATAACGATCAATTCGAATGCCTTATGTCATCAGCTGTATAAACTAAATGATATACTTCAATAGAAAAGGTCAGAATTAACCCACAAGCAAGGTATAGTCCTGCATCAAGACGACCCAAGACCTCACAAAAGTTTGGTCAATCGCCAGAAGCTTTTGAAGCTGGAATGGGACCCAAAGACACATTCATCATATTTTTCCACACCTGCCATCATCGGACCATTATTTGTTCAGGTCACTAAAAAAATTTTTTGCCGGTGAAATCTTTACCTCAAATCAGCCTGTCAAAAAGCACTTTGATCAGTTTCTTGCCAATAACAACCAAAACATTTATGATTTCGGAATTATGCTAATACCAGAAATATGACAAAAAATGTTCGATCAAAACTGCCAATACATAATTTATTAAAGTAATTGATTATTGTACGAAAATTACGTGCAAAAATGTGTATAAAAAAGGAAGTTACTTTCCGAACAACCCAATATTATATTATATTATATAGTATTTGTTGTTATACATACATTTTCTTTCTTTTTCTTCTTGTCAACAATTTTCTCCAATCGTTTTCTTTGTGTTTTGGATAAAAGTTTCTTCGTATGTTCATTTTTATTTTTTAATTTCGTTTCACGTTTCTTGGAAGGTATCACTAATTCATTACTTTGGTCATAATTGTTATACTCGCTTTTTTCTAACTCAACTTGTATCTATAAACATAAAAATAGAATGAATAATAAAGTTATTAACAAGATACTAATATATTTTGTTTAATAAAACACCTTTCGAGTAGCAGTATTATCAATTTTTTGTCTCAACCACTTGACGTGCTTTCCAATTATAGCCTTTTTTCACCATTTTGTTTTAATTTGGTTTTTTAACAGAACTTTATTTATTTTATTTACATTTATATTATTTTACATCTCTTAAAAATATTTAACTATTATTTTCAACATAACCTGACATATACAACGTGTTTACAAATGTCAAAGATGTTTCTTTTACGGAATGAAGTTTGTATCGGTTACCACCACAAAATTGTTAACGGCATTTGTAAAAAATTAGATTTTTGAGAAATTTTAAATTTTTGAAAAAAAAAATGCTTTTTTTTAGTTTGAAATTATTTGGAAAGTTTGAACTTTTTTTCAAAGCAATCGCACTGCTTTAGCTGCATGCAGACGCAACATCGAAGCGCGTAATCGCCGCGTCGCCGTCTAACGGACAGACGATGTTACAAAACCCATAGAAATGTAAACAAAATTGATACACATTATTAAAATCTTCATAAAATATCTGATAATTTGATGTGCATATGTCTATTGATCATTTTTGACCTCAAAATGGCATTTTTTTACTTTTTTTACTAGATCTTCGAAACTGCTAGATGTGCCCTTCCAAAAATTTAATCAGTTCTTCACCTTGTCAATACAAGTGAAATGTTTTTAAAATCATTCAAATCGGACGCTCCGTTCTCTTAAAAACTGAATTACCGTTTTTGGTTCTTTTTGTCATGTATCTTCGGAACGGCTAGACCTACCTCTGCCAAAAACTAATCAGCACTTTCCTTATCAATACGAATCGAATGTTTTTTGTATTATTCAAATCGGTTGATCGGTTTTCCCGAAATCGTCGACAAAAATTTGTATCCGTGCACACACACACACACATACATCAATTTTTTCTAAGGTATGCCAAAATATTCAGAAACGTTCAAAACGTGGAGATAATGCAAAAAAAATTATTTTCGATTTTTTTGTGATTGCTATAACTTACCTCTAATTTGTCTTAAGGCACGATGCCATGTGCCCCACTAGTTTATTCGTGAAATGATAGTTTGTTTGTTCGAGCGCTAACTCGCGCTCTATAGTACTGCCTACTTGTAGATATATTCGAGAAAATAGGTTTGAAAATTTATCTGCAGCTTTTGGATTCCTGCTTCGGCAGCTGAATATTCCAAGCATCGTCGTCGTCTCTTCTTTGGAAGAAACAACTAATTTTTGGAAGCCCATCTTTTTCGAAAGAGGGGCTCAAAATTCACAACATTCGCCAATGTATAAAGGTGCGTCCACACTCGATATGAACACGAACGAACATAAAAGAACGTACCAGAACGAACGGAAACAGCATTAGTGTGGACGCCACGACGATCACGAACGAACATAAACAAACATGGCGAGCAATGTTCCGAAACTTGTCGGTACATCAAAGGGAATTGTTCGTTCATGTTTGAACGTCGTATGTGCAGTGTGGACGTCTCAACGAACGCAAACGAACATTTTTTTTATATAATTTTAATATTTATAATAAATTTTTTTAAAATTTAAGAATAATGTTAATAATTTAATAATATTTACTTTTAATTATTGTGTACAGTTTGGAAAATTTTAATAATATTTACTTTTAATTATTGTGTACAGTTTGAAAATTTTGAATAAATTATGGAATGGTCAAATGACGTAATTTTCATTCATAAATGAAATAGAAAAGTTTCCTATAATATGGGAGACTAAAGACCTTTTTATAAAATTATTAGAAAAAAAAAACGATTGCTTGGAAAGTGTAGGCAAAACGTTTGGGATGTCAGAAGCTGCAGTAAAGAAGAAATTGCAGTCTTACAAGTAAATATTAAACTTGTTATCATACATAGACATTCAAACTATAGTTGAGGATGAGAGTATGAAATTGAGTATAGTTAGCTCAAGCCTGGAATGCAGCTTGCTCCGAATATGAATGCTGAGGAGAAAAAAAACGACTCAAAATATAAATATAAATACAAAACTGAGTGAAATTAATTGATAATTTATTTACAGTATATTTACAAAATATACACGAACAAAAATCACACAAAACCAGTGAAAATGCCGTATGATTAAAGCTTACATCCATATCAATAATAAAACTGACGTTTCACGGAACATCTACGAACAACGAAAATTCAAGCGCTCACTGCTTTTAAGCGCTTGTTCAAGTTCGTTTGGAATTTTTCGCGTTCGTTCGTGTTCCTGTTCGTTCTTCTTGTATTTTCTTGTTCCACATGTTCGTTCGTGTTCGTTCGTTAGGTGTGGACGCACCTTTAAAT